TAGAGAGAGAGAGAGAGAGAGAGAGAATTATAGAATTTGATATGATATAAAATGTTACCTACATTCAAATAAGAATTCAGATGCCTAAATAAACTACATTTAATATCTGCAATTTATTGGTTATCAGATATAACATTAAAAATAATTAGTATTATCACTCTTGATCTGAATTTTAATAACAGTGAATCCATAATTACTCCTATAATTGTTCTTATTTATTATATGTGAGTGGTGCATGTGGAAACAGCAAACTGAGGAAGCAATTTTGTTATGCAAATGCCATTTGTGTATATTAGCAAACATTTAAGCAGAGAGAGTGCCCTTGTCTATCCAGATGGCCAATAATGAAATATGTATGGAGTCAAAAAGATTCACACAGAAAGCTGTTTTGGGTTGACTGCTAATAAAAAGAGAGCTGCCTTGATTATTACAGATGCATCTCTTTTAAATAAAAGGGAAGAGAAAGAGGCAGACAACTCCTCAACTTGAGCGAGAGAGAGCTTGGCTTTTTTTGTTGTTATAATGATACAAAAAGCAGCTTGAAAGCCCTTTCCTCCAACACAACAAAGGACAGATCTGTATTAATTCTGGCTTAGACAAATCTTTCTTTTTTTAAAACGCCACAACAACTTTAAAACATCATTACATATTTATAACTGCCAGCTAGATGACAGAGATGTAGCACAATGTTCAGCATTTAACAATGAGGCTACTTTGCCAGTGTCTAAACCCTCCTTTCATCAAGCCTGACAGCAGAGTGAAACAATTACTCACAAGATGGGGATCCACTTTTGATTTAGCAATGCACCCTTTTAATGATTTATTAACAGGCTCTCGAAAGTTCTAGCATTAAGACTTGTTGAAGCAGTAGAGCCAGCTTACATAAAAATTGAGCGGAGCTCTTCACCATGCCATGATCTTTTTTTCCCCCATATCCAGCTCTGATATGTACTGAAAAGATGAAAGCTCCAAAACAAACTGTGCCTGAAATCCATGAAGGAAACCACAAATAAGCAGAAGCTGTGCAAATGGCACAGTTTAGACAACAAAACTAACTCTTACTTTCTCTCTCTCTCTGTGCAGATCAGTCAGAGGGTTTCCACTGCCAAGATGAATGTCGTATCCTTGGCCACTCTGACCGCTGCTGGATGCCCCGGGTGCCTGTGCCAAGAGCCAAGTCTCCTGAACACAGCCGCAACGTCATCGCTCTGTCTATCGAGGCCACCACCGTAGACGTACCTCACTATGAGGACTGTGGCACCACCAAAAGGACTTTTGCCACCTTTGGCAAAGACGGGCCAGATGAGGAGCGGCCCGAACAGAGGGGCAGGCGGCAAACGGCAGAGCCGGCCGTCTGCAGCCCCAAGACCAACGGCACCGTGCGCGAAGCCGGAAACGGCCAGGAGGCCGTCAGCCCCATCACCTCCCCAGTGCACCTGAAGAGCCCCCAGTCCAAACCACCCTCCACCTACAACACGCTGAAATGCAGAGACGCAGAGCGCATAGCCAACCACAGCCTGCTGCGGCAGCCGGAGGGGAAGGACAGTGAGCCGGCCATGCGGGAGATCAACACGCTCCTGCAGGACGGCCGTGAGAAGGAGTCCCCTGGCAGCAAGCGGCTGAAAGACATTGTGCTTTAACCGGCTCCCACGTGTACACAGAGCGCATACACTACTACGAGTGTGTGTAAACGTGTGCGTGTGTATATTTGTGTGCTTTTTGCGAGCGTCGAGCCGAGCGGGCCTGGGGAAGGGAGACACATGTGCAGCACAATGTATTCTCCAGTGACCGAACAAACTAAGCTGAAAATGTGTCTGCGAGCTCAGACTGTCATCGTGGCTTGGTAGTAACAGCAATGCTTGTACGTTCTTCGCAATTGTTTTTCCGCAGTGGACAGGCTGGTTACTGTGTGCTGCGTGACACACTCCACCCTGCTCTCACGTCTTACCCTTAGAGGAGAAAGACTTCCAGTGCACCGCTGGTGACACCCAAGTACAGTCATGCCTTGTAGACTCTAAAGAGACTTCTAACTTTCTTCTAATGCCTTCTTTGGTATGCAGTTTTTGCTTCAGCTGCCAAACCGCTCACTGTTCCCGAAGAGGACGTGGGTCTCTCTGACGCTACGGATGGCGAGACTCTTCCTGTCTAACACGAGCAGTCCGACCGATCGCGGGAGAACGCACAGGAAAAGTCCTGCAGATCTCATTTCATTTCAGTGGCTTCTCACTGGTCTGATAAGACACCCCTTCTCTGTTTCCCTCAAGACATACCAATGTCAGCAAACCATGAGGTCGTTACAGTGCTTATTTTTTATCACAGACGGAGCTAAATTAAGTTGCGCTATCAGCTCAAGCTCACCGAAAAACTGGAATAGTGAGAGACCGATCCCCCAGACTTACAGCCAGATATAAATATATATATATATATATATATATATATATATACACAGTATATACGGATAAAAAGAAGAAAAAAAACCATCAGACTTGTTGCTTTTGAAATCTCATGTGCCCTTTCCTGATTGTAGCCAGTGGAGCGCAGTTTACTAGAACTTCGTTCTCTGGTCTTGTACTTTTTTGGATTTTGACTATGGGGCTAGGATAGAAGGGGTCGTCACTTACGTCTTGCTATGTGAAACTCTGTTTAGGTTTACTACTATCATTTTGAATAATCTGTTGTTATGTGACAATCCCTTTAATGTTTTGTTGCGAAAGTAAAAACTGAAAAAAAAATAAACATTGGTGTTCAACTAAAGCTACAGTAGCGTTTGTACACAAACACAAAAAGGAAAAAAAAAACATATATGCCAAAATATATTTTATAAATAATTTAAAATGTATAATGAAAATATTTAATGCTGTGTAGTTATTTTATCAGTAAGTTATACTTGAAATTATCTGGCTTTTTTTCTTTATTTGTCCCCTTTTTATTGACTATTTTATTCCTTTTTTTTTTTTTTTTTCAA